TCTGGTGCAAATTACTGACCTCTGTCATCATTTTAAGTGGGGGAACTTGCACAATCGGTGGCTGACTAAATACTTTTTTGCCCCACTGTATAGCCTCCGTTATCTGAAGGTCAAAAGTAACTGGACTGATAATACAAGTACCTCTGTTATGCATTTCAGAAAGAAACACTGGCTTTCTTCCCACAAAAACACGTGATTTGCCTTTCTTATGGTTTTAAATACTTTTCACCACTAATTAGACTGGTCCTTCTGGACCCTCCATTCCCCAAATACATGATATCGGCTTCATTCGCACCCCTACGATGGGTGAAAGCAACAGAAATGCTAGCGGTCAAAGTGGACTGACCTTAGAAAAGATGTCTCCGGTGTCGCTTGACAGGCTTCTGAGCAGCTCAACGAGCGAGGAGAAGCTTTTCAGCAGCAGGCTGTGGGGGATGTCCAAAGGGCACAGCTCCAAGAGGAAGATCATCTGCCAGGACCCAAACCAATTATTCACAACGCACTATTCTAGATGTGTCTATGAAGCCAATTAACGTGCATAACACAAGAGAGCATTACCAGTTGTCTGAAGACTGTGGCTATGATAGAGCTGCCTAATTTTGCAGTAATCTGAGCTCCAGTGTACCTCTCCAAGAGTGAGCCAAGGATCGACTTGACACTTTCCAAGAACTGATCCACATCTATTGAAAACAAATCATCATACAGCTTAGTCACACATTGTTGTGCATGCTCTGATAAACACACAACCCCTGACAATCACGTATGTCGTCAGGAATGACGCGTCTCACATTTCAGCAGGATGTCTCTGGCCAGCTCCATTGCAATGGCCGTGGACGCTCCTCCTTTGAGCTGCAGGTAGCACCAGGAGAGCAGACTGCCCTGCAGAGCCCAGAACAACGACAGCAGGACCGATCTGCTGGCGCCGCTATTCTCATCCACCATCATGACCTCACACTGAAGGACAGAAGACACGAGGAGAAGCGAACTTTAGAAAGACAAAAGAAACGTTCGATGTCCACCCGTGAGAAGCGGGCTTACCTCTCTGGTGGCAACCAGGAGCAGCGTCTCCATGACTGAGAGTATTGGGCTGATGTCAAAGTCTGAGGGAGCTCCTTTAGGAGGGAGCAGCAGAAGGCCACTTGGATCCTGATCGCTGCAGAGGAAGCACAGACGTCACCGACTCCTCGGGATGTCTCATGTTGACAGGACCATATGATGACGTGTTTGTACAGCGCTTACCTGAAGTAATTACAAAGGGATTCAAAGGTAACCTTCACCGACTCTGGCTGATCCTCCTCTGTAATGTTCTTCTGGAAAAACACAAAAATACACATTAGGAGAATCGTTACGCTGCTGCTGCTTAATAACACTTACAAACTCACCATCATGTGAAAGAGTTTGTCTCGCCTGACACGTTTATCAGGGAAGAAAACAGCCGCTCCATGAAGAACGGCCTTCACCGCTTCTGTGTGCAAAGCCTTTTCCACGGATGTCTCACCTTCCGGACTGTCCACAACTACAACAAAAACCACAAACAGGGTTGCTACGCCGGATTTCTCTGATGCTTACAAAGCTGCTCCCTCGCTCTGTGACGGCTCCTTACTGTGACAGAGGTGAGTGTAGAGCTCCCACACAGCCCTCATAGAGTCACTGAGATCATCTCTGCTGCTGGACATGGATGGACGAGCTGCTGCGCCAGCTTCATCTGGTACTTTGCTCTCCTCTTTGCCCCGGGACTCCCGGGGGGTGGGCAGCATGGGGAAACAGTTCTGCATCAGCTGGAGGAGGAGAACTCTGCTCTTCGTCACCTCCTCGCCCTCACTGGAAGAAAGAAACATGCTAACTTGCAGCAGGCATGGACTCCCACTGACTGACTCAGTGGTAATTATCATTCCAGTAATTCTAACAACAATTGCCAGACTTGGCAGAGAGAAGAGCTTCACTCACATCTCCCTGAGTTTGCTGTAGAAGCTCCAGAAGAGGCTCAGGCTGAGGCCACTGAATTCCAACAGATACTTCTGCTTGCAGTGAGAGGCATCCTGCAGACACAAACACGCAGCTCTATCAGTCATAAAGAGATGGGAAACATGTTGCAATGACTCTGAATGGCCATCAGGGGGCGCACTGTCTCATGTCTCAGGTTAGTTCACTGACTTCGTACAGGTTACATTTTTCTCTTGCTTTCTTGTAGGTTTCTTCATCTTAAATGCAGGAGTTTCCTCTTCAGCACTTTCCAGATTAATAACGGTCTTAATAGTATTCAAACTATATCTGAATGTGGCCCGGTGACTACTGCGTTCATCCTACGGTCCCTGCACCGTGCTGAGTGGCAGTTTTCTTTTTTTATCTGAATGATTTTATCACCGATAAAGTTGGTTTTTCTTGCCTGTTATGATTCAACCAAATGCAGCTGCCTTTGTTATGCAAGTCAGTCTTTACAGCTCTACTAACTCCTGCTAATGGAGACTCGTCACCAGCTGATTGTGCTCACAGGTCTACTGCCCAGAGCCTCTGATCTCAGAGGAGCCAGCAGGAAATGACAGGGTTTAGTGATGGAGCAGATCCTCGTGGGAAATGTAGGTGTTTGCAAAACACAGCAGTGGAGTTTACTGAGGTTATTGAGCCCAGTGGGAGCATCGTGAGTGGAGTTATTGCCACGCTCACACGTTTCCAAACCACAGTGTGACCGTGTCTGGTTTCAGGACACTTAAGGTGCATGGCGGCGTGCACTAGCTATGACTGAAACGTCACCGAGGGAACGCGGCCTCAACATTGAGCTGCTAGCTGTCTAACTCGCCACAGTAACTCATCACTGCTGCTGAATCAGCACGCCTTTTGCTCCATCAGCCAACACGTCTGTGGCTGCGCTGACTGGATGCTGATAATCCTGATCATCCTCTGTACCGCTTACAGGACACACAGAAGGACGCTCTCTTTAAAATCTGTTTCAGATGCAGCAAATCTTTACCACCTCATACCTGCATTCATTTCAGATTTAAGCTCGAGTCTTAGTTTAATAGTTTAATACAAAGAAATAAAACTTTTTTTAAACTCTTCGGAGCCATTTCGTCTTGTGATGCTTTTTTTCTCTTACATTTTAATATAGTGAAAGTCATTTTTCATGTTTTGGCTGCTGTCACACAGTAATTTCCCAATTTTGGGGATAAAATGGGGTATTTTTATCTAATAAGTAGGTACCATGTCTCGTGTGAGCTGCTGTATGAAGAAGAGCGTCTTGTTTAGCAGGCAAAGGCCGGTAACAGCATCACCGTCAAAGCTCTCTCCTTTCGGACTGAGGTCATCCAGGTCTGCGAGCCTCTCTGTCCCAGGGCACAAGTAGCCACTGAAGCTGAGGGACTGCACACCAAGGCGCTCGGCGTTGTCCTGCCTGGTGCACAGGAATTTCACCATCAGGAACTGTGAAGACGGAAGAATTAGAGGTGGTGTGACAATGACAGCACAATATTAAAGACTAACTAAACGTTCACCAACAATGAAGGGAGCTGACTAACTGGATGTAGTGTGTACCTTGGCAACACGACACTGCTGCAGCTTGATCTCCACATCATTCCAGTCGTCCTCCAGCTCAAACCAGCCAATCGGCTCGTCTTCACTCTGCGCTGGAGTCCTGGTGCTGCAGGTCAGGTGACAGCATGGTGTGATAATGATAATAACAATAATAATGATACAAATTTAAAATAGCAGAGTGGAGAGGTTATGTGGAATAAGCTGTTTTGAACAAGTGAGTTTTGAGTTGGGACTTAAAGAGAGAGAAGGAAGCGAGATTTCTTAAATCAGGAGGTCGGGAATTCCAGAGTGGAGGAGCAGCTGAAAGCTCCCCGTGGTGGCAAGACGAGGAGAGGGGACGGAGAGAGAAAGAGAAGAAGAAGATCTGAGACACCGAGATGGGGCGGTGATGTGAACCAGGTCAGAGATGATGAATAGCCTTAAATGTGTACAAGAGTATTTTGAAATTGATGCGATATTTGACCAATGAAGCTGCTGCAGGACAGGAGTGATGTGGTGGACAGAAGGGGTCCAGGTGATGATACGAGCAGCAGAGTCCTGTGTTGGAGCTTGATGGTGGATTTTTGAGTAAGACCAGAAAGAAGTGAACTACAGTAATCGATCCGGGAAGTAACAAGGCTGTGGACAAGAATGGCAGCGGCATGTGGGGAGAGAGAAGGACGGAGACGATTAATGTTGCGCAACTGAAAACATGCAGACCGAGTAACATTATTAATGTGTGAATTTAAAGACAGAGTACTGTGGAGGATGAGACCCAGACTTTTCACAGAGGAAGACAAGAAGACCGGCGAGTTATTGATAGTAACAGAGAAACTGTTGGTTCTGGATAATGTAGATTTAGAGCCGACCAAGAGGAGCTCGGATTTGTTACTGTTGAGTTTGAGAAAATTAGAAGAGAACCATGAATTTAATTCAGCTAAGCAGAGGGTGAGGGAGGACGGGGGAGAGCAGAATCAGGTTTAGTGGACAGATACAGCTGGGTGCCATCGGCATAACAGTGAAACTGGATATTGTGTTTATGGAAAATGTGTCCAAGCGGAAAAAGGTAGATAATGAAAAGAAGGGGCCCAGGACAGATCCCTGGGGCACGCCAGTGGTCAGAGGGACGGGCTGAGAAGTGAAGGATTTCAGTCGAATGAACTGAGTGCGGTCAGACAGGTGTGACTAAAACCAGGCTAGTGGAGTATGGGAGAGAGCGATGGAGGCTAGCCTGCTGAGGAGAACAGAGTGAGAAATAGTGTCGACAGTAGCGCTCAGATCGAGGAGAATAAGAAAGTAAACCGGAGTCAGCTGCCATAAGAAGATCATTGGTTACTTTTATAAGCGCTGTTCCTGTGCTGCGGGACTGGAACTGTTCATACAGATTATTATTAGTTAAATGTGAGTGGAGTTGTGTGCAACTATTTTCTCAAGAAGTTTTGAAAGGACTGGTTGATTGGAAATAGGCCAAAAATTCTCAAAATTACTGGGATCTAGACCATTTTTTTCAATATTGGGGTGATGGCGGCAAGTTTGAGGGAAGCAGGAACAGTTCCAGTGGTAAGTGAAGAGCAGATGATAGCAGGTATGAGGGGAAGCAAAGAAGGCAGACATGCCTTGTGTCAGCTACACACAGTATCAACCACTGAGGGCCCCACACACATACAGACTGCTGAGGGGTCTAAAGTTTGTCCCACTTTTAGGACTGGATGGTTCATTTTAGTGAGACGGTGTCAGGCTGTTCTTATCACAAGAGCATTTCAAACTAAAATATAGGAACAAATAAATAGTTAAAAATAGCTGCAAATCCTTACCTGCTTTGTACAAACTCTTTGAAGTCCTTGTAGTCCCAGGAGTGATACTTTTTAAACCTTTTGAAGTGTTTCTCTGCATCGAAAGGGTCGTCCTCCTTATACGCAAACACTAAACCACATTTCGGTCCAATGGCTCCTTTCCGCACCTTATCACACAAACACAGTGTAAGACCTGCAGCACCGTAATCCTCCGTCTAGGTTATTGTATTTTGCACTGTAATGGTAAAATTATAGGCCGTCTCACTTTGATCTTTATCTGAGTGACCTGGAAGTTGCTCTGGTCCTCCGTCGAGAGGATTACGCTGGCTTTCAAACGGCCCGCTTCTGTGAGAAAACCTGCAAAGGACAAAGTATCCAGCAGCACTTTACGTCATGTTGATTTTGTACTCAATCTGAAGAACAGTCGTTATTGATCTCAGCTGTACCATCTCCAGTGGAGTACTCTGTTAGCATGTTCTCTGGTCCTGATTTCTCATCTTTGCTCTTCACATCACAGGCCTGTAAGTGCAGCTGGAGCGGCTTCCCTGTAATAAGCCAGAACGTCCAATCACAGCACACTTAATCATATGATCGCGTTCCATTACGTTGCAACTTTGTTACTACACTGGAGGACGGGAAGGCAGTAATCAGCACACTGCAGCGCAGCTTTGTAAAAGAAGAAGCAATTTTCCACTAATGCAACTCCTCCTCAGAAATGGCACTTTCTCAGATTTCAACGTCCTCGTGTGAAGAAGAGGAAAAGACTCTTTATTTTTCAGTAATGATGGGAACAAACGGTATAAACCTAGCGTTTTGTGTTTGCATATTCATGCGGCATTATCACGGTGTGGTTTATAAATATGTTTTCTGTGATTTTCATTTAAAAATGAAATAAAGGGTTGGAAAAAAAAATAGAAGAAGAGGGAAAGAAGAGCCGTTTACATTACCGTTCCGATACAGCAGTCGTAGCCGGACCGAAGCCATAGAGACGATGAGAGGCGAGGCCTTGTACTTGGTGTCTAAATGATCACTGATGCAGGACAGGGCCTGAATGACTTTTGCCACACTCCCTCTGGCCAGGGCGAAGGCCAGGAGGGTCAGCTCTACATCAGGACTCACACAGCAGCTGCACACAGGAGAACAAATACTTTGCCATGAGTCAAACTTGTCGTGCCAGCGCACACTTTCCTCAGCAGCATGTGCCTGCTGTGTTGTTGTTGACCTCAGCTGAACTTAGGAAGTGTTTCCTGTATAACCCAAGTGGATCAAGTAGTTCTAGCAACAATTCGACACATTGAAAATCGTAAATGCAAACTGATATTAAATTGTTTTAAATTTGTCAGAAGATTAAAAAATGTGAATTTCCTGACGGTGAATTAATGGTTGTGGCTTTACAGAGTTAATAAAGGGACTCTACACAAGTAGATGTTTCCACCTTAAACAAGCTGTTTTACTTCCTCCTCATTTCAGCCTATGAGAACAGAACAGGTGGGACTTGTAAGCACACAGTCAGAGCAGTGTGCATGGATGACCAGATTAGGGATAACTTAGTGACATCATACATATCTAAGAGTAGAAAAAACAGTGTTTTTCTGCCTCTGTCGGCAGAATTAGATTTGCAGAGCACCAAATGGAACAAAGTGTGTCGCCGCCTCAGTTAACCAGTATTTTTGTTTCCACCTGCTTTTACTGAGATGACGTCAGCATGGTGAGCTCAGTGTGGTGTCTGTGCCACAGTGCCTTACTCTGCTATCCTGAGGAGAAATCCATCCACCTCCTCCAAGATGTTCGCAGAAAAGAACCTGGGGAACTCTGTGGATGACGGTGTAAGGGACAATGGCGGCATGTGACGTAAGGCTTTTCTAAAAGTGAATCAACAAAAGAAACCAGTGGCATCAGTAGGAATCTTACAAATGTGATGTCAATAAACACATGCAGTGAGCTCTGCATCTTACTGTGTGCTCTGAAGGACGGTCTGGGCAAGTGCAGGGTTCGTCTCCATGGACGCAGTGACCAAAGAGGTGAGGAGAGACAGGTACCAGACGGCTGAAGCATCCGAAACAGACATCTCTTTATTCTTGGTAATCTGATAACCCAGCGTCTTCAAGCCGTGAATCCGTGTGTCGCATCCATCACTCAGGCACCGCTTAATGTTGATTTGGATGTCTGGGATTTAGTGACAAGTTTATGTGGTTAACGGAAAAATCAGATACATCCCACAGGAAAGAAAGGAGAGCACCGTTGAAGATACTGTAGAATAAATATTGATTAGGGAGGCACATGTGAAACACATGACTTAACTATGGGGACCTCAATACATGCAAAGCACAGCTACGATTTTTAGGTGTGTGTGTCATTATTAAAAAGGAGCACATGTGGAGCATACATAGGCCTGTAAGCTGAAAAACAGACTCTCTCTTGGACTGGATCCCCTCGATCTTCAGCTTGTGGAAGCCTGCATGTGGACCCAATAAGGAGGCACAACTGTATGACCCCACAAAGCTCATATGAAGCTTACACCACGCTTTATGTTCAGACAGGTGATAGTGTGACCTAGAAGCATCAGTGAGATGGTGACTCACAGGGGTGTGTGATGTTGGCATTCTCCAAGAGAGCTACATAGCCCGTGACATTGCTCGGGATGCGGATGTCTCTGATCTCCTGCAAAGAACGCCGGTTCTTCCCCACAGCAACTGACACTAGCTGAGGCATATAGCTGTGGTCATTAGAAGCCACGGCAATGGCCAAACGTCTCAAAACAACATCCGGTTTCATTTTTAGTCTGGGAAGGGAGAAAGGAGATGAGTTTCCACCTTAGATCTGTTAATAGACTTGCTTAGAAACATCAGAAACTCAGCTGCCTTTTACCGTATCCAGTGCGAGCGAGCGCTGCCGTCAGACTGCCAGAAAGACGCCGTTTCCCCATTTGTCATCTTGTAGATGTCAGCAACATTGGACGAAGCTTCTATTGTGCTGTAGCACTGAGTGACGACCTTGACCATGTCTACATCCGGATCACGGTCCAGCTCTGCTCTGTACTGAATATCCAAATCTGAAAGAAAAACTCACATGAGGACAGCCTCACCACAGGCCTGACGCTGCTGGATGTGCATTTAGCCTTAAATTACTAAAGAGAACACTCATGCTCACCTTTCTCCTTCTGCAAGAGGAATTCCAAGAAGTCCTGCACCACACTGGACCTCATGGTACAGATACTGTTGTAGCCCTCTAAAATTGGGAAAGGGATGGCACTGCTGGGAATACGATTCCTGTGTAAGAACTTTAGAATTTTAGAGGCGTGTGCTCCTAATCGGTCTTTGGTCTTGGAGAATATGTCCACAAAACCTGTGGAAAGGAAAACACAAGAAAAATGAACGGGTTAACTTTTTGGCCACACGCTGGCTGCACTGATTCAAATAAGGTCGAGTTTGTTTATCCGGGTAAACAAATCACGTATCGTACCTGGGGTAAGCGAGCAGGCCTGAAGCTGTCTTATCACATTACTCAGCTCTCCCTGTAGATTAGCTCCATTGGAGTTCTTCAGAGCAACCAGCATGCTCTCTATGTCCACCACTCCATCCCCCTCCGCATCAAACTGACCAAAGGCCTGAGACAGTGGAGAAGGACAAAGACTCTTTTATACCAACATTTACTTCCTCACTTTCACAGTGTTGCAAAAATCTATAAGAACATTAGTCTTAAAACACAAATGGCTGAACAACTGGTGTTAACATAAGGAGCACTCAGCTGGAAGCATCTTTATTGCAGACTACGTTACGTAGCTACACTTTTGGAGTCTGTGGCTTGATTCCTGAAAGAAACACCGTCCCACTCCCTATTTAAAGCACAGCTTTGATAGTCAGGATTTACAAAGAGCTCAGACTGACATGCATTAGTTCAACCAGTCAAGAGAAGACAAAACAACGTGGTCTGCTACAAGTGACCAAAGCGGAAAACCTAGTGACAAACCCCACAAGAACAGGTGACATTATGTCAGCTCGTTTACTCGATCCACTGCAACTTCTAGAAATCTACAAACGGCAAAAACAAAGGGGGGCTGCTAGAAAACTCCCCCTTCTGTCCAAGTTCAGCGGCACATGAGCCACAGTCTACAAATCAGCCACAGAGTTGTGGTTTGACAGAATTGGAGCCCGTCTGTTCCAGGCGACACTCCCGAGCTGCTTCGTGCATCGTGCCCAGGATAGCTCGTCCCGTTACTCGACCTGGTACTGGCCGACAGAACCGTGACTGGCCAAACTCACCTGTCACAGGTGAAGCCTGATAACAGAGCCCTCTCTTCGATCACTACAGCGCTATTTAGATTTGTTGACCGACAATGATAAAAGCACGTGACAGCCCAAAGACTTAATTACGTATTTACGTATTGATTACAAACGCTGAATGGGCGTGGCGACAAGTTATCGAACACGACGCTCGAACCTGGGCTAAAAACGAGAAGACGCGACGGCTCCAATCATAACATGTGACGTTAGAAACGTGAGCAAGGCCACGGCAGGTTTATACCTCTTCGCACTCGTCCCTCGGAGCATCTCTGCTCTCTAACATCTCACAAAATTGCTCAATATTAACGGACTCTTCTCCTCGGTTTAACCGGTCCTCCAGCCACCGCATCAGGACACCCTCATTCCCGGCCAGGACGGACTCGTGAATGGCGACTCCAGAGTCGCTAATACGAGCCGCCGCTTCTCTCAGTTTCACTTGCTCCAAGAGGACCCCGGGGCTGGGTGGTCCACCAGTGGGCACGGGTAGGTTATTCGATCCCCTTCCGCTCCTGCCACAACCAGAGCCGCCGCCGCCTCCAACACCGCCGCCAGCGGTCGCAGAGGCCGGACCGTCTTCCGCGAAGCCGGGACTCTCCGTTTCTATGTCTTCCTCGTCGCCGCTGCCTCCGCCGCAGCCGCTCTCCGCGTTGCCCATGTTTGTTTCGCCGACCTAAGGCTCCCCTGAAAACCCCTGCGGCCCACTGGGCGTGAGTTCTGAAGCGGTTGGACCGGTCTGTACACAGACCGCTCCAGCGTTCACCTACAGCAGAGCTCTACTCCACTACCGCATTGACGTTCTGTACGCCCGCAACGTCCTTTGCGTTCGTAGTTCGCGCAGGCGCTGTGGTTTGGCGTGTCCGTTCGCGGAAGCACCTGTGCTGCCACTGTGAGGTGTGCTGGACTGAATGTAAAGCTTAAAGAAAAGGCGCTTTAATAAAGCAGCATGCTCAGCTATGTGGTGGTCGCGCTTTTATCCGTGTCGCTGGCAGTGCTGTTCATCCCTCCTGATTGGTCAGCTATGTTTGGCACTGAGTCATCAAAGGGGTCACCGGTCAGACTCCTAAGCAGGAGTGAGTTAGCGCTGCACGATGGGCAGCGGGGCAGCAAGGGGCTATACCTGGCCATACTGGGCCATGTTTTTGATGTACACAAGGGAGAAAAGCACTATGGACCCGGTGGCGCTTATCACTTTATGGCAGGTGATCCCCGGCTTTCTTTAGCGACACTGGATTCCACGTGTGGTTCTCCTAGCAGTCCTCTATATTCCGCCTTTGTCTCTACGTGTGTTTGTACTTTCAGGCAAAGACGCCTCCCTGGCCTTCATCACCGGAGACTTCACAGAGAGTGGGCTGACAGATGACGTATCGAGTCTGTCCCCCCTAGAGGTGGTTGCACTGTACGACTGGCTGGCCTTCTACCAGAGGGACTACCAAAATGTGGGTATGTGATTTCCATCATATTGTAGTGGAACAGCTCCAGGTGGCCGTCAGAGTAAATAATGGTCTTGTTACTACAAGTGCGCCTGGTTGTGTTTCGGAAACTAAGAGATATTTTTGGTACGTGTTGTGCAGATCCTATTTTATGATGTGCAAATAACAGACGCAAAGTATACAATGTTTGTTGTCACTATAATGACCTAGTGCAGAAGGTTACTTTAAAATGTCTTAACAACACTTCCTTTGTTAATTGACTTGAATATTGTTACTTTACTCATGGAGCAAAGTGCAGCTAGGATATGACCATACACTTAATGAAGACAATTTACCTTAAACATCCCAGAAAGTTTTCATTTAATGTTTTGGTATCCAACATTTAAATACAGGTGTATTAATCGGTCGGTTCTATAACGAGGCTGGAGAGCCCACAGAGGCCCTGTTGAGAGTAGAAGCATCACTAGCAGAGGGTAAGAAGCTCAAGGCTCAGTCTGAGGCTGAGAGGATTCGCTTTCCGTCTTGTAACTCAGAATGGACTGCTGCCAGTGGAGGAAGATTCTGGTGCTCCACTAAGAGGTATGGACATAGTTTGTGCCTAATCGAAAACAAGTCTATGTTGTATTATCCTACTGATGTGTAATACAGCATTTCTGACACTAGTGGGCGAGAGGCGTGCACATAAGGAGACACAGGGTTGAGTTTATTTCTTTATTCGCTGCAGCGGTGGAGTGGCGAGACACTGGGCAGGCGTGCCACGGAAGCTCTTCTCTCCCGGCTCCAGTGGTGTTCGTTGTGTCTGTGTTGAAGACCCGATCGCGGCAGAGGAAGACCCCAGCCTGCAGAAATACGACGGCTGCCCTGCACATGCCGAGTCATGCTCTGTGGGAGCGCACTAGACCGGTCAGCCCCGAGAATGGACCCACTCGTAGCTGCTTCTTAGCAGCACTGAACTCAGAAAACTTTGGCTAGTAACTGAATTGTTTGACAAAGAGACGAAATCATGAAACCTCAAAGCATTTTTTGATGACCTTTATGTAAAGTTGTCCTCCTTTTCCCTAAAAGAATACACCAGGAAGAGACGAGCTAGATATCTGAGCATACAGATACGATACAATGTGCATAAAAGATTAAACAATGTGCATAAAAGATTAACAGAGGCAAGATTTAGGTTTGTCACAATGACAAGCACAAACTGCATTTAAGTACAAAACAGTTGTAGTGGTCAAAAATATCACACATTTATCTGTACAATTTAACAATACTTGAAGAGGCCCCACTACGTGGCCATCCCTCTTACTCCTCATTCTCCCCAATGATCAGAAATGTCACGTGAACTTGATAAAGTGCACCTGTTAGGTTTAGAAATCAAGAAGCGTTACATGTGATGGGGTCAAGACGACAACTTGACACGAGGCAACGTCGTGGGACCGTCGAGGACCTCACGGTCGGCCCGACATGGAATGTAATCATTCGGTGGCTGATTTTAAAATTATAACCATGACTTGAAGGCTGCAAATTAAATGACATGCATAGGCATACTAGGCATTTCTGTAACTGAGAAGGGGGGTACTTCATGTTTTGGAGAGGTTTCTAATGCTCTCGTGATAAATGGGCTTTCTCCTGTCACATTTCCATTCAACTTGGCCGAGGCGTCCTCATAAAGCTCAACTGGGGACAAAACACCACCTTATTTTGCCAGTTGCACCGTCACGTCTGCAGTAAAGTAATATAAAAGTTTAACAGAAAAGGTTGGATTCACTTTGGACCTAGTCAAGTTGAGGCGCTTTCCCCTCGACCGCTCCTCGTCCCATTTTACTCAGTTAACACAAAATAGTGAATAAATGTTCAAAGATTACAGAGAACGCAGCGATCTTTAGAACAAAGGGCATTTTCCCGTTTGTTCTTGGTTGGCAGCAGCCTCAACTCCATCACGAATGTAGAGTTTCATTTCGTAGCATTGACATTTTTGTTGTTGTATTTGGACAGGTCGGCATGTTTAAGGGAAGACCCCCTCTAAAGGTGGACTGAAATGCCGTGTACAACAGCTACCCGCTTGTGATATCAAAGAGCTCATCAGCGCAAACATCACTGAACTCAGTCCAGCCACTGATATTCACTTCAACATACTTTGAAACAGAAACAAAACAACAATGTTTCACTTCCTACTTGCAACATCCCTCTAAAAGATTAATAGTTTTTCATAAACTGGAATAGTATAAAGATGATGGTCCATAACTGTCTGGGATTCTCTTGTTAGCATGTCCTGCTCCCAGTGTGCCTGAATAATTGTGCCAAGTTGGACCTGGCGCGGTCGGAGCCAGAGGTTGAAAGACATCCAGGCCGGGGCATTACGACACGCCGCCCAGAGTCAGTACATCAAAGCAGATATCGCACACTCTGACCGGCTTGTTCAAGTCAAACTTGATGATGGGTATCTCTTTTATAGAGCACTTGTGGCACAGCAGACGCCCACAGTGGCGGCTAGAGGCAAGAAGGAAAAAGGAGAGTTAGACCAATACTGTATCTACTGCATGCCTACACAGAAAAGCTGCAGCACTAACCAGTGATGTTTCCGTGTTGTAACTCCAAACTTGGCACCGCATTCATAGCAGTTGGAGCCATCACACCACGGGGGCTCTTTGGAAAGCATATCTGCGGAAAGGGAGGCGGAAGGGGGCGAAAATTATCCCAAAGATCACCACAACACGCAATTCCCTGTGAGGCTGTTGGTTTATAATACTGGAATATTGATGGGTAATTAGGTATGAAAAGGATACCTAGAAGGCGGAAGAGCAACTGCTTGGTTGCAACCTGGTAGTTGAAAATATTGATGCCCTGATTATTAGTGACTCCCAGGCGAGCGCCGGCCCTCACAATAGCACGGCACAGGTTTGCGTTTCCTTTCATGTAGGCCAGCAGCAGAACTGCAACAACATACATGTCGCTGTCATCCTTTTAGAAAAGCACCAGTGATTTCCACATTGTAGTTTTATAACTTCAGCTACAAAAGCCAACATGGTACCTGTGTTCCCTTCATTGTCAGGTTTGTCCAGAGGATATTCAGGCATGCACTCCAGGAACAACTCAAAAATGGCAGCAGCATTTTCTTTGCCATAGTGGCCCAGCACATGCATTGGTGACTGACCCCTAAACACACACAATGAGATGAAAAGTCAGAAGATTTTTTCTCACTTTAGTTTTAATACAGTTCGTTCACGTGTATCTGCATAAATCACCTGAGATTGAAAGCCTCAGCATCGATGTTGGACTCTGTGAGAAGGACTCTGACATTGTTAAGGCGACCCTGCATCACAGCCAGATGCAGAGCTGACGAGACAGAAAAGAACGCAGTTATTCACAAATAGGTCGCAGTGGTGGAATAGTAACGACTGACACCAGATCCCACAGTCAGTCTAGATTTAAAGGTGAACAGAGCAGGAAACTCCAGTTTGCAGCAGTCTGTTGTAATACAAATCTACCAGCACGATGCAACACCTCAGGAACAGCACTTATCACGTACAGATATATCTGCATTTATAATGACAGTTCTGATCTTGTCAGAAAGAACTGGTCGAGTCGTGATGTAATCTTTGCCCATCTCAGAGTCATTTCAGTGAAAACAAGACAAATACTGTTAAGTACCATTATTGCCATTCTCGTCCTCGGCAGCGAAGTCGACTCCGTTCTCCAGCAGCACGGAGCAAATCGTGGCCAGGTCCTGCTGAGCAGCCAAATGTAGTGCTGTCTGTCTGTGTTTAGTCAGCTCATTCACTTTAGCACCAGCAAGCAGCTGGAAGGAGAAACCGTATCCATTGCAGTGTTTTTCTCATTACAACTCAAACTGGCATGAAATACTACTCATACAGGAGAAAATCTTGGGTTTCTTTACCAGGTTGCGGACGATGATCTCAGATCCAGCCTGCACAGCCAGGTGGAGCGGGGTGAGTTTGGCCGCGTCCTGAACTCTGGAGTTGACGTTAGCTTGGACGCTGATTAGGAACAGGACACTTTCAATGTCTGAATTCTGCACAGCCACGTGGAGAAAGTTGCGCCCTTTGTTGTCCACCTGGACACAAGCACACGTTTGAGGTCATTACTGCAACACTCATTAACGCTACAGCAACAAACTAGCCCCTACCTGTTCGGCAGCACCTGGCTCCCTCTTGAGAATAGCCTCTGCCGCTTTATTGTTCTTGTGCGTCATGGCGCAGGCAAAGGGGGTCATTCCCTGACGGTCGCGAATGTTGAGACGAATGTCTGGATGGGAAATGAGGAGCTGTATAATGACATTGTGCTGGTTGCTAATAGCAGCATGGATGGGAGTTCTGCCCTCTGAATCCTGACAGAAA